CAGCCCCAGGCCCCGCCCCTAGACCCACCCACAGACCTCGGCCTCGCCTCCCGGTTCCGCCTCCAGGCCAAGGCCACGCCCTAGCCAGGCCCCCAACGCCTTAGTTCTGCCTCCAGTACCGCCCCCGGGTTTGAGCCACACCTTCTGACCCTTGGCCCCGGGTTCCGCTCCCAGCCAATCTTCTTGGACCCTGTCTCCGGCTCCACCCTAGACCAGGCCTGGTTCCCCTCCAATTTCGGTCCCAAATCACAGGCATCAGCTAGGCCTCCCCAGGACTCAGCCGTGGTTCTTGACTCTGACTTACGCCTCCAGGCTGCCACCTGCCCAGGCCGCCAGCCATGTACCTAGACTGCACCCCTTTCTCCCCGCCTCGGTCGCCAGATTTCATTGACTCCGACCTCCCCCTTCCCCCCATTCCAGGCCATACCAGCAGCATGGCCAGGAAGGCCACGGCCATGAGCACACTCTCCACCACAATGAGATTTCGGCTCCGCGGTAGCGTCCGAAGAACCGTCTTGTTGAAGCCAACGAGGATGCCCTGGCTGTTAGTGCCTGAGAAGGGGCGGTGGGAGTAGGGCACCGTCAACTCAGCCACGAAGAAATGCAGCAAGGCCGGCAGGTGGCAGGGGAGAGTTAGAGGGAGCAGCAAGGACAGTGCCTACAAAGGCAGGGTTCCTTTGGGGAGCGCTTTAGAGATGAGAACCACTAGGGCTGAATGTACCCCAAAGGAAGGAGCACCTTCTCCCATCCCCCTTCCTGCATGTTGCCCCAGGCTCAGGGAGGGAAGGGGTGCCAGTCCATCTCCCACCTCTATACCTTCCTCCTACACTGACTGAACGCTGAGGGTATGCTTGGTCCTGAGACATACCCCACAGGCAGCTTCATCCCAAATGGCACCTCCTCCAGGCAGCCTTCCCTGATGCACCCCCCCTCCCCTACTCCGGCGGTTCAGGTTCTAACCACATACTCCTACGGGGCCCTGTGTCTCATCCACCAGAACCATGGGATGCCAGGCTCTCAGCCCTGAACCCTGTGAGGGAGAGCATCCTCTCTACCCTGGGGAGCCCAGTGTCTGCTGGATAACTCAATGGGGGAGGTGAACAGGACCTGGGGACCCTACCCCCATGAGGACTAACCGCAGCTCTGCACGTGGTACAGCGTGTGGTTCAGGTCGTACAGGTAGTGGTTCAGGAAGTAGATCATGGGCAGCTGGGCACAGGCGAAGCTCAGCTGTGGGCAGGAGGGCAGCTTGGGCCAGGCTTGGGGCATGGAACCGGGCGAGGGGCACAGGCATGACCTGGGAGGAGTCTGGGCACAGCCTTGGAGGGACAGGAGCCCTCCCACCTCTGGGGGCGGCTTGGTGGTAGGGGGAGAGGACCCAGTGCAGGAGGACTTCCTCCTGGTCAGCACTGTGGACAGGGAGGAGACAGGGACCTGGGACTGGGGGACTCAAAACGCTGGGATGGGCTCCAATGCTTGGGTTCTCGGACTGGAACACCCACCGCCCAGGGCCCCACATGTGACACTCACATGGAAGAAGCTATAGAAGATGGCTTGGAAGACCAGGAGATAGGGCGCATGGGAGCCCCGCGGTGGGCGCTGCTGGGGGCCCTGCTCGTCCCTCTCCTTGTAGTGGGTGTACTCATAGTACTTCTGCGCCATCCTGGACCACAGGAAAGAAGGCTCTCTCCAGCCCAACCGCTGCCAGACACCTCTGTTTCCTGCACCCGGAGCAATGGGCTGACCAGCCCCTGCATTTCTTGGGTGGGGAAACTGAGGCCCAGAGGGCAAGAGGGGCGGATCGAAGGCCCCACAGTCCAGATGGGCAATGCAGCAAAGGTTCAGCCCAGCCTCCAGTCTCCCGCCCTGCTGCCCACCAAGCTCACCTGGTGATGTAGTTGCCCATGGAAGCCCAAAGAGGGACGATGGCCATGCCCAGGGCCACGGCTGAGGGCACCAGCGTGTAGTAACGCTCCCAGTAGTTGGTGGAGACAAAGAGGGCGTAGATGCCCACGCCTAGGAACATCATCCACTTGGTGCCAAAAAACCTGTGGGTAACGGGAGGGATCCTGGTACCACGGGCCTACGCGGACTGCCACGGCCCAGTACCACAGTGGCCACAATGCCCGGCTCACAAGGCTGTGTGAAGTGGGAAGAGACCCCTGGCCTTGGAGTCAAGGGCTCTAAAACGGAGTCTCAGAGACATGAACTTGCTGAGTGGCCTCAGGAGAGGCAGCGTGTCCACACACCTGTTTTCACATCTGTCATGCGGGCACAGAACCCAAACCACAAGCCTCTCCTGGTCACTGCCAGAATGGAAGGAGGTACAGTGGGGGTGAGGGTGTCGTGAGACAGTGGCTCGTGGGCATATCCAGCCCTCATTTGTGTACTGGGCTGACTCACCGGCCCGCTTCTCCACTCGAGCTTATGTGCTGGGACTGCAGGGCCCAAGCACACATCCGAGGGACTTGACCCAAGCTGGCTCAGGAAAACTTAGGAGCAGAGAGAAGAGGCTCTGCTGCTGGCCAGTGATCAGGCCGGCACCCTGGTGTCCCTTACTCCGTGCCCACTGCTCCTATAGTCGCTGTGGTCAGTCAGGAAGGTTCCTCCTCACTGGCCCTTAGGAAAATGGCCTTGCTGGCTCTGGGAAAATGCCGCACTGTATTCGAAGGTGGATGAGAAGTGACAAGATACCGGCCCATTCAGGGCATGGAGGCTGGTCAGGCTAAAAACCGCCACCGAGATCTAGTTTTTTTGTTTTGTTCTGTTTTTAAGTATTTGCGCTCATTAGTTCCCTTTGGTTTCCAGGAGGCTCAAAGAAAAATGCCCCTGGTTTTCTGATACGATTACTCTCTCTTCTATTCCAGGGCCCTGGTGCTTTTATTATCCTTATTTTGCCACATAATAAATAGATAGGCAGCCCCCTCGGATCCATTGGGGGGAGGGCAGGTCACGCCGAATGCACTGCATGTTTTGATGGAGTAAAACAGAAAAAAGTAAAAACTCTAGCGGTCATTGTTGGCGAGGTTGTGGTTTTAGAAATGACACACGTAGCCAGTGGTCATGCAGACCGGCATAGCCCTTTGGCAAATCAGCCCGGTAGTCTGGGCGAGGGGCACGCAGCGGGGTTTGGAGCCACTCTGCCTGGGTTCGAACCTTCGGTCTGCCACGAGCTGCCCGTGGGACTTGGGCGAGCTGCTCAATCTCTCAGAGTAAGGAAGGGGAACGGGATAACACCCATAAAGCACCCAGCACATCGGAAATGAAATGAGTTAGCTGTCGTTATTAATAGTCATAGGTTTCAAGGGCCATAAAGCCTTTCATAGGCTTCTGCCCTGATAAGGGCACGGCTGGGGATTTATCTCAGAATTTTTTAAATTTTATGAAGGAAACAGCTACAAAGCACAAAGTAAACATGCAAAAAAGAAGAGGGAGCTGCCGTGCCCAACTCCGAGCCACAGCTGGGCGCCTGCGTCTCTGTAGAAGTTGCTACCATCGCAGAATCTCCACCGTGAAGACTGTGGAGCGAGCCAAGACGTGTGCAGAAAAATGAAAGAAGGCAAAAGCGAATGTGGCACACGCTCTGGTGACAAGGACATAAATGTCACCCATGCCCATGCTCTGGTGACAAAGACATAGATGCTACCCACGCCCACGGGAGAACCGGCTAGAGGGCTCGAGTGGCTTCCTTCCTTCCTTCTTTCCTTCCTTCCTTCCTTCCTTCCTTCCTTCCTTCCTTCCTTCCTTCCTTCCTTCTTTCTTTCCTTTCTTCCTTCCTTCCTTTCCTTCCTTCCTTCCCTCCTTCCTCCCTTCCTTCCTTCCTTCCTTCCTTCCCTTTTCTTAATTTTCATTATGATTCTAATGCTGTTCGTCCAAATGTGATCAAAGATTTTTTTTTTTAAATATAGGGTAACTAAACCTGTCTCATCTGTCCACTGGTCTCTGGGTCCATCTGTGCACAGACCAACTCCCGGTGGGTAGGATGCTTCCGGGGGGGATTTTTGCACTGGCCAGGAGGCTGGACTAAATACCTCCAGGCTCACTCTACAGCAGGCCTCCTGGGGCACCTGCCCAGCCATGCCCTTTTAGTGAGAAATGTCCCTCTGACACTGGCCACAGCTGATTAGCCGGGGGTGGGTGCCTGAGCTTTGCTGGCTGATCGGAATCTCTCCAGAGAATCTATAGCCCTGACTCCAAAAGGTCACTGTTGCTCCAGGCCACAGCGGGCACAAGGATAAGCTGAGAGAAGGAGCCAGAATAAATTTCCTTTGTTTGAAACCCAGTACCCAGTGTGCCCCCAGCAAAGCTCCATTCCTTCCTCACACCCCGTTTCACCCCTTCTCTCTCACCCTTCCAGGGAGGCAAGGCCTCTCACAACTCCCCACCTCCCAAGGCCACCAGGGCAGCCTGAGACCTATGGGCCAACAGCCCCTGCGCCTCTTCAAGGTCGGGGTGACCGCCCCAGCCCTCAAGGGGACAGCAGCATCACACCTGATGAGCACAGGTGTATAGAGGAGGGCCCCGATGGGCATCACGTTGATGCCGATCAGCATCTTGCTGTCGATGTCGGGCAGTCCCATGTTGCCATACTTCACCTCGCGGTAGGTCTCGTCATAGTGCAGGATCAGCTGCATCTGCAGGAGGCCTGGGGACAGGAAGCAGGCGTGGAGGGGGCCACCTGGCTGGGGAAGGGGAGGCGGAGGCAACCAAGCAGAGGCTGGAACTCTTTTACCAAAGGGATCCCGGATTCCAATGCCCATGAGGACGGGGAAAGCCAGGCTGGGACAAGGGCCCTGCCAGCCATGGCAGCGTCGGCGACTTGAGTCCGGGCCCCCTGCCCCTGCCCTTCCACCCTCCGCCTAGGTCCCCAGGTCTCTTGGACCTCAGCGCTCCTGATTCCCCAGCAGACCTGCCCAAGGCACCCAGCCCCCTGCCCGCACCGGGAGAAGCCTGTGGTTGGGGGCCGGGGCCACTGCGCGGTCTCGCCCCGCCCCACGTGGCGGGGCCGCAGCTGCAGCTCGAGGGCAGCGGGCAGGGAAGTGAAAGAGGAAGGGTGGCCAACTGTTTTTTTTTGGGTCTGCGGAGGGAGGGCGCTGGGCGGGTGAGGACGGGGAAGCCGTGGGGCCGGGCGCAGCGCCCTCGGGCCGGGCGCGCGGCGGGCAGGTACCCAGGTAGACGCCGTAGGTGAGCGTGCCGCCCGCGCTGGCCGCCAGCACGTTCTTGAGCACGCCCAGGCGCTTGCGGCGGTAGTAGCGGCGCTCCTCTTCCTCCTCGTTGTAGTTGGGGTACGCACCCACCAGCTCGTCCAGCTGCGGGGGACACGCGGCGCTCGCACCGGGCTGGGGACCGAGGGCCTAAGATTTTTTTCTCCAGCTGCCGGCCGCCCGGATGGCCCCGCACTCCCCGCCTCAGGGGCAGCATCCCATCCCCGCCCGGGGGCCCTCGGCCCCTCGGCCCCTCCTCGGGTCCCTGCTCACCGGAGCCTCGGGCCCGTCGGGGACCCCCAGTCGGTCCTCATCGCCCGGAGAAGGACCTGCAGCTCCCGCCACCGGATAGAGCAGCGGCTCCGCCTCCATATCCCTATGTCGCCAGAGGACTCGTGGTGGCGGCCCCGGGTGTCCCAGCAGCAGGGCCCGGCACTTCCTACCGGCGGCCCGGACCTACCCCCGCCCCGCCCCGTCCCGCCCCTTAGGCCACCGACCCCGGGAGGGCGGGAGGGGAGGGGCGAGAGGTTTTTTTCGTGTCTCGTGTGTGTGTGTGTGTGTGTGTGTGTGTGTGTGTGTGTGTGTGTGTGTGTGTGTTCATGTGCAACCAGGACCCGGCCTCAGGGATGCGAGATCCAAGTTGGAATCCCTGTTCAGCCACTTCCTGGCTTTGTGACTTGGGTAATTAACTCCATTTCTGTTTCCTTACCTGTGAAACGGGGCTACTGGGCAATACAGTCCAAGGCTGTTGCCAGATTATTGAGTTACGGCAAAGCCTTAGAAAAGTGTTAGGCCCATAAGCTCTCCTCAGTGCTGCTGCTGTCATCCCTAGCCCGACCTCTTGGCCTCATTTGGTGTGTTTGCAGGTGAGCAAGGAGTCCCCATAGCAGCCCACAGAGGGCTCCCACCACAGGACTTGCTAGCCGCGTGCCCACCTACCAGGAACCCTCCAGCTTCAGCTTGGGCATCTGCAAAGGAGCTCTGGCAGGGCTGCTGGGAGGCCAAGATTGCGGTGGGTGCTGACTGACCCCATCCTCCCCCTGCAGCAAGGTTCACAGCTTCCTGAACCTGCCAGGCTGGGCCCTGCGAGGGAGCCCATGAAGTTCCCACCTTGCCCAGGCTGACGCTCCATAGCACTGGTGGGCACCCTGGTTAGAAACATCTGGAAAGGGTTTTAAACTATGCATTTAGTTCCCCGGATAGCCTCTTCACCAGACAGTGTTGAAGAAACTGGGTAACCACATGAACAAATGAAACGGAACCTCTATCTGATACCACTTATAAAAATTAACTCAAAATAGGTCAAAGACCTGAGGCCATAAAACTCCTAGAAAAAAAAAGTAGTGAAGAAGCTCTTTGACACTGGTGTGGATCTTAAAAATAAAACAGCCAGTTATTGTGGGTAAAGGGGATCAAATATACAGCAGCCGAAGAAAACTGGACTTTGAATGGTCAACGCACAATGGAATATACAGATGTCAAGTTACAATGTACACCTGAAAATTATGTAATTGTATTAACCGATGTTCCCCCAATAAAGTTAATTTAAAAAAAAAAAAAAGCCAGTTATTTTTACCAGCAAAATGGGTTTACTCGGGAATGGCAGAGGAATTGCAATTCGGGACACGCAAGCGGGGATAAACCTTAAGTAAGTCTGGAGAACAAAGGAGAGGAATGTTATTTTATAGAGAAAAAGGGTGAATTGGGAAGGGCTGGGATAAACAAAATGGCCATTGGAGGAAACCGGGAGTTCGAAGCATAGTGGCTTTCCACTGGCTGAGTCCTGGCAGCTTCTCACGGGCTGTGTCTGTTGCTATGCCGGGAGGAAATCTTCCCTACTCCGGCTGGGGCAGCAAAGGAGGCTTCTTCCCGGTGGAGTCTGCAGGGTGTGGTGAGTGCTGCCCCTCTTCAGGGCTTCCCAACTCCATTTTAAATGAGATTTCCCTTTATTCATCTTCACATTAGTCTTGGCAGTTATTTATTTCTTTTTTTTATGCGACACTAAAATCACAAACAACGGAAGACAAAAAATCAACAAGTGGGATCACATCAAACTCAGCTGCTTCTTCACTGCAAAGGAAACAAGAAAAATATAAAGTCAACCTACAGAATAGGAGAGAATATTTGCAAACCATGTATCAGATAAGAGGCTAATATCCGAAATTTATCAATAACTCATATAGCTCAATAACAAAAAAAGAAAGAAAGCCATCTAATTAAAAAATGGGCAGAGGATCTGATCTCGGAAGCTAAGCAGGGTCGGGCCTGGTTAGTACTTGGATGGGAGACCACCTTGGAAGAGCAGGTGCTGTAGGTGTAAAAAATTAAAAAATAAAGGATCGTAAGCTGACAAAGGCCTTACAATCTGTGAGGTCAACCAAGAGTTGCCTCACCTAAAAAATATTTTAAAAAGCAAAAAAAAAAAAAAAAAAATGGGCAGAGGAGCTAAGTAGACTTTTTTTTTCCCAAAGAAGACATCCAAATGGCCAACAGATACGTGAAAAGGTGCCCAACATCACTAATCATCAGGGAAATGCGAATCAAGACCACAATGAGCTATCGTCTCACACCTGTAAGAACCGTTGTCTTCGAGAAGACAAGAGATAACAAGCGTTGGCCTGGATATAGAGAAGGGAACTCTTGTACACTGTCAGTGGGATTGTAAGCTAGCCCAGCCATCTTGGAGCACAGTATGAACTTTTTCCCTTCTGGGTTTCTGTGGTTTCATTGTCTGTCCCCCTAGATGGCTGCTCACCGTGTACCCTTCAAGTAGAGGACTGTGTCAGTCACTTAAGTAGGGGTTCAAATATGATTGGATGGACGGACAAAAGAATGGATGACAAATATCCACCGTAGCAGGGCTGCCGGGAAAGTGGAGAGCTGGGGGCGTGGGGGGCATGAATTTGCAGAGCTTTCGAAGTGGCGGAACTGCCTCTGGACCACACCCAGGAGCGGGTATGGGTGAAACAGACAGGTAGAGTCGCGTCAGCAGTGCCTAGAAGTGGGAGACTGGAAGGGACCGAAGAGAAAGCGGGGCTTGAGGTCCAGCGGCAAGGAAGAGGCTGCAGATCGGGGATGCAGTGGGTGCTGGAAGGCCGAGGCTGGGAGGCCATGGTCAGAGGGTAAATGCAAAGTCCAGCGTGTGGCTATGGCTCGGAGTAGGGGGCGAAGGGTCAGGAGGTCATGGGTCTAGTGGGGGATCAGTGGACTTTGATGTCCCAAGAGGATGCAGTCTTGTAGGATTCAGCGGGCAGGCAGGAGACACGGCCAGGAGGAGGGAAGATGGCTGCCTCAGATGGGCGGTGTGACCTGAGTGGCTCGGTGGAGCAGGGGGTGGGAGGCCAGGGGTCTGTAGGCTCTGCAGGAGCATGAGACCGCCAGGAATGAGCCTTTGCCCCTTCGGGAGTGCAACTCCCAAAAGCCTATTGGAAATGGGGCCCTCGGGCCCAGGCGGAGACCAGCATCTATGATCTATCTGCCCTGCTCTCTGCTTGAGGCCACTAAGTAAAGAAATAATTCAGCCAAGTGCATCTGGCTGGTAGCCACGCCTCCCCTGATTCCTCCGACAGAGAACCCAGCACAGCCAAGGGAGGAAAAGGTCAGGGAAGGGCCCTCTTGCCATGAAGCGGGGTCTGTAGGCATTGCAGGAGAATGCTGCCTCTCAAAGCTGCAGCCTGAGAGCCCATCTGGCCCCAACCACTGTGCGAGGCAGGGAGAGAAACCCACAGACCCAGTGGACGCATGTCAAGGTGGCCAGGTGTTTCCCACCCTGAGGCGGGGTGTGTCATCCAAGGAAGGGGAAGATCTCCAGGTCAGGCTTGTCTGCTCAGGGGAGAAGGGACAAGGCTTGTTGAGCTCATTGGTTTTGTATCTCTCACCAGAAGAGACCCCCGCCCCCCGTTCCCCCAAGATGAAATTAAGCAGAGTACGTTTTAAGAAACAGCCAGAAAGCAAAGAGAAGATAGGATCGGAGCAGAGCCCTGTTCAGGAAGTGGTGACCGGCTCCATATGAGGAAGACGCCAGGGCTGATGTGTCCCCAGCACCCGCATGCCAACCCCCACCAGCAACACCTGCTCAACGGCATGCTAGCTGTTTCTTAGATGCTGACTTTTCATAATATTGCACGATTTCTCTGAGGTCCCAGTCCATGCCTAAAAAAGAGGCTATCTTGCAGTTTAGAGTCCCAGGATGATTTAAAGTCCTGATTACACATGGACTCCTGTGTTCTGTCAGTAACTTTTAATTTTAAATTGCTTTATTAAATTGGATTCACTTTGGAACATTTTCCTGGTAGCTTGTTTCATAACCTGACATTATGACACACAATGATTAATGATACTATTCTAACTTTATTAAAAGCAAACGTGTATATCTATCTATATATATATGTATATATATATTTACATCTAAATGACAAAAAAAAAATTTATTTTTTAAAACACTGTCACAAAGAGTATAAACACGAATGTCCGGAGTTGAGTAAGGGTCTCTTCAGTGTTCCCATACGGTGATCCCGGATGCATTTGAGAAGCAGGCACTTTCAACTCCAGGCCTCCCCAAATTCAATGCTCAGTAACTCTGTCGTTAGCAAAACAACACCAGATCAGTCCAGACGTGGAGTTTGGCCGTCACTGGCAAACTGCTCCTGGAGAGGAGAGTTTTCAAATACGTGAGCGACAGGTTCTCTGATTAAATTCGGTGGATGGGAGGCACTGGGAGGAGACAGAGGTGGGGGAAAGGGAGAAGCTGGGGTATTTTTCAGGGTCCCAGCACCCACAGATCTGGCTCGCCTTGGTCTAGCTTCCCCTGGTTGCCCCTGACCCTCTGGGGGCTAATGATACCACCTCTTCCCTTAGACCCTCCGGCCCTGGGACTGCCTGCCAGCTGGCATGGAGGGACCGGCTAAACACGGATGGTGTGGCCTGCAGGGCAGAGAACCAAGCAAGGCCAGCAGGTCCAGACTGTAAACACTGACTGTCACACCCCCAGAAAGGAGCAGCCGCATCCCCCTCACCGATTTCAAATGATTTTCTCTGGAATAGGTAATAGGTTTTATGTTTTTGTTCTCATTATAAAAATAATAGTCGTTTCTTACAAAAAAGCAAACAGGAGCGATCGATGTCGCTCCCAATTCAGACACTCCTGGGGTGTCGAGAAGCAGAAAAAGCATGTTACCCGTGCCTTGTGTCCCAAACAGGAGCATACCGGGCCCACTGCGCACCCAATTCCGCCACTTCCCTGCACTGAGGTGAATTGAAGCTCTACCATTTTTTTTTTTTAGATTAAAAACCATGGGGACAGTGATCATCACAGGCTGTGTGAGGTCCCCAAGCTGATGTGCCGAGGACCCTGCCCAGTGCCTGGCACAGCAGATGTCTAGGAAAAGGTGGCTGCTGCTTCCAGCTGAGACATGACGCTCCCAGAAGTGGGGGGTGACCCTCACTCGAATCCTACAC